ATCTTCTCTCTTCCCCTTTGATCCAATCGAAACACTCACATTTCAAATTGTAATGATGGGGCACCAACACTAATTTCAGAATTTCAAGTGTCCTTCATAGTGCTCTTCCTACTTCTACACTTTCTTCTTCTACTGCCTGCTCTGCTTCTAGTTCTTTTGTTTTTAAAAAAACGTCATTTTGGTTCTCAAAATGACATGAAATGTCATGAAGATGACATTTACAAGCGTAAAAAACCTGACAGTCGCTCCTCCTTCACCTTCTTAAGAATGACATCAAATGTTATGATGATGGCATTTACAACAACAAACAACAACATCCAAGCCTTAGTCCCAAACGATATTGGGGTCGGCTAACATGAATCGATATATGATATCACATTATCAACGATATTCATATTTCGATTCATGTCATGTGATGTGACTAGGTAATACTGTTGGCCGTCACGCGCCTACCACAGCACCCTCCTCCTTTATCCTGGCTTGGGACAGGCATGAAACAAAAAAAATTGATCTCATGGCGGAGTTGATGATGGCATTTACAGACGCAAAAAAATTGACAATCACTCCTTCACCGTTTTAAAATGACAGGAAATGTCATGAAGATGACATTCACAGACTTAAAAACCTGACAGTCGCTCCTGCTTCTTCACCTCTTTAAAAATGTCATGTTTGTTCCGAAAATGTCATCAATTAGTCATTATCACTCTTTGAAAATGTAATAACCTTTAAAGTAAAACTGCCATGATACATATTGTAATGCCACAATAGTGACATTATTTTCAACTTGGTGTTCAATAAAACAACTATTATGGCATTTTGAAACTCAAATCATGAGAAAAATAATAAGAATGGTTTAACTAAATTAATCAAAATTTATAACAAAATGGAAATTCAAACCAAGAAGAGAAGGGATGAAACTTGAAAGGTGGAAGAAGAGAAAAACATAGCATGAGAAGAAGAAAAGGGATGAAATGTGGAAGAAGAGAAAAACAGAGCATGAGAAGAAGAAAAGGGATGAAAGGTGGAAGAAGAGAAAAACAGAGCATGAGAAGAAGAAAAGGGATGAAAGGTGGAAGAAGAGAAAAACATAGAGAAGAAGAAAAGGGATGAAAGGTGGAAGAAGAGAAAAAACAAAACAGAGCATGAGAAGAAGAAGAAGAAGAAAGATGAAGCTCACATGTTCATGTAGCAGGGTCACCATTCATCGTCGCGGACACTCACTCCACCCAACTAACACTGATATGTTGTAGCCGGTATTCATCGCAGAGTTAGCGGCTTGCGAACTTGAAAGGCTTTGCAGGGCATTTTTGGCATTCCAACCTAGTTTTGGTCCTACGATAACATACGGAAAAGTAGTAGTCCTATTCTGGCACTTTTCCTATGTTTTGGTCCCGTTTTGGGAATTTACTCTACTCTATTTTACGTTTATACACCAAATACATCTTTTGTTCCATCGGAGATTAGTCTGAGTGTTTAGTTACCCTATTTGCTTATATTTATATACGCTATACTTTAATGTATATTCCATTAAAATATGTCAAGTTTTATTGTCACTAAATGATCCGTCTTCATATTATAAATATGAAACGCCTATCAATATAGTATATATCTTCTGGAAATAGGCATAATGATTTAAAGCTATTGTAATCAATATGCATGACTCATATCATTGTAACCTCTCAAAGGTCTATTTAGTATACTAGCATATATATCATGATATACGTTCATGGATACACAAGGTATCTATGGGAAATATAGAGACGGTATAGACGTAAAGAGCAAATATTATGAATATTATTTGATGTAATTGTGAACGTAATTACACAATCAAAACTGACATATACTATGTAAAACAAGATATTTTCTATGATTAAATACTTTATTGATTTTGTGATGTCACATTCAAGAGTTTATATATGTATCTCTATATTCACAGTAAAATAATCAAGATTCTGTGAATACGGGATATAGGTTTAAGAACACTGTACTTAGGGATCATTACCTATGTTTATCCATACACGTATTTTGTACCGTATCTATTGCAAGAGATACACTTTTAGTTTACAATCCCAGCCTAATACGATTGAGTATATTTAAGTTCACATTGTACTGTCATTTACTATGTAGAGTTATATCACAAAAGGTACCAATATAGTTACTATTGTCATCAATGAGATATTATACCATCCCTTGATATGTTGGAATATGACCAATATTCCTTAAGGATAAAGACTTAAGGAATATTGATCGGATCATAAATTCTAAGTGAATATTGCTCGTTGCTAGAATAGTAAGTGTGAATTTGTATGGAGTGATCCCTTGATATTTCAAGGGATCACTTCATACCCAAACGATATATTACAGGTTAATCACTACATATTTTGGGCTAACAATTAGTCAAGGGACACCGGCGCCTTCAGAATTGTCTTTCCGTCACAATTAATTTATTATATCACACTAGTATCCTAGTGTGATGTACTCATAATAGACACTTATTTAAAATCTGATTCACGGATCTTATTAACCATTAAAAATAATTTTATATGAAGATGGATTTCCACAAAATTCATATTTAACTGTCTAACCAATACCCATAAGATGGGGTTCTATTATATAATTATAATAGTTGAGACACTTAGGCTCCGAAAACCATAGAGATCTCGTTGGAATCTCTTTGAGCACTAATTGGTAGCCTGAGTTTAAACGTAAACTCAGGCTGCCAAATACTTATCATGATTTACCAAATGATTTTAGAATATGTTTTACTTAATGCACATTATATGATCACTCCCGACCAATATATCGTATTGGTCTATGACGAGATTATATCTTTGTATAATCTTATACAAAGATTATGAGATAATTCTCTAATTAGGAGTAAAACAATAGAAAAGTGCAAAAGTAGGAGTGGAAAGTTCCGTTCAATTATGTAGGAGTAAAAGGTTATAAGTTGACGAATGTACCCTTAATGAAAACCTTAATTTCTATTTCAAAAATATAAATAAAATAATACGGAGTAATTTCAAAGCAGCAGACACGCAATGGGCAACCTATTCTCTGTGTGCAACTACAAAGCGAGAAATCGTTTTTGCACATTTGTTATCGCTGTTATCACCAGACACCACCGCCGCCGATGCGGCCACCTCTGCCATCGTCACGGCTGCCGTGACCATCGATGTTGACTGGCACAACCGCCACCATTTTGCCGCCGCCTCATTTGGCATCACTTCTGGAAGATCCTCTGGGTCTTCCGGCTCCACCTTTGGCACCACCATCATCCATCTTAATGCCATTTTAATGCAATTTGTACTAAAACAGAGAAGGATAATTTATTGCCAATCTTTACAATTTCATGGCATTATAAACATTGCAAAGGGAAATTATTGTCATCGTGATGAACATTATTGTCATCGTGATGAACATTATTGTCATCGTGATGAACTTTATTGTCATCGTGATGAACTTTAGTGACACAGAGATGACACTATGTGCACATAGATGACAGACACTATAACTCAAATTCACAGTTTATATGGAAAACAACATGGAATTATTAATTTTGGATTTGCAGTGACATTATATAGACAACTTGGTGGAATCGGTGACATTTTAGCGTTGTATTTTGAAATATGTAATATCTCCTTCTTAATACCGAACAGTTACTAAATTTTTTAATACTGAAAACAGCAATTGCAGGTTGAAAAAAAAATCTAAATTGAAATTCATAAAAATATCGAATGATAAAAATACAATTGAAATTTTATAAAAAAAAATGAAGAGTGGGAACGAATTGTTGGAGAAGAAAGGAAAATAAGAAGAAGAAAGGAGGAGAGGAAGAAGAGAAGGCCTGAGGTCGGAGGAGGAAGAAGAAGCAGACCGAAACTTACCTAAGATGCTACTTGCTGATTGTTAGGAAGCTTCGAGAAATCAAACTTCAGATGTAGATGGAGGGGAAAGTGTTATGGCAGTAGAAGATACGAGAGATTGGGGATTTGGGGGGTGTGAACGGTGAGGGGGAGAAAAGATACTAGAGATTGGGGGCATAATAGGAAGAGGAAACGGGTGACTCATCTATTAACTCCTATTTTGGCAATAAATTAAAGTGTACTCCTATTTCAGAATTTCCCTAATAATTTACTCCTATTTACATCAATTAAGTTTATTCAGCTAGGAATGAAAGAACATCTATGAGTGCATAACTGAACGATATTGGACACTTTTATATGTGTTCATACAAAATAAGGATACATCTCCGCTATGTTGATCGATAACGGAGAATATGCTATAAGGGTTCATATCAATTACACTTCAAAACAGATTATTTATAGTTTTGCTATGCTGTGGATGAGGAAAGATCCCTAATGTTTTATTTTGGGGACAATTTGGAGTAAAAATTGTCGGATGTTACACTCCAGAAGGAGGTTGGGGAATAAGAATATTCTTATATTTATGCTAGAGGTTATGTATGATATTATATTTTATAGGAAAAATTGAAAATAATAATCCCAACTATTGCCGATCCGCTGAAAATAATCCCAACTATTGATTATTTTTGTATAATCCCAACTATATAGACTATCCGCCAATAATGGTCCATGACCATATATTACCTCTATAAAAAGTGAATTTTAAATAGAAATTAAGCGTAAAAATTAAAAGTTGAGATTATTTATAGGGATTACTTGTTATATCTCATCTCATCCACTTTAGAAACTACAAGAATTTATACATAGAGACCATTATTGGCGGAAGGTCTCTAAAGTTGGGATTATTCTGTAATAATCAATAGTTGTGATTATTATGAGCGGACCGCCAATAGTTGGGATTATTACTATCAATTTTTCCTATTTTATGTCATATACTTAATAGAAGTATATACATTAACTTACATAATCTATTACGCTAGTTTACATATATATTATTTATGTAAATATAAATTAGTAAAGTATATACATGATCTTATATTTTATATCATATACTTAATAGAAGTATATACATTAAGGATGTTTTCTTTTGGACTGTTTTCAGTCCCAGACCAGACCAGACCAGACTTAAACAGACCAGACCAGACCAGACCAGACTTAAACAGACCAGACCAGACCAGACCAGACTTAAACAGACCAGACCAGACCAGACCAGACCAGACCAGACCAGACCAGACTTCCGTAGTTATAAAATACACAGAGACCAGACGTTTACCAGACCAGACCAGACCAGTTCAGACCAGACCAGACCAGACCAGACTTAAACAGACCAGACCAGACCAGACCAGACTTAAACAGACCAGACCAGACCAGACCAGCAAATTTCAGTCCAAAAGAAAACATCCTAACTTACATAATCTATTACGCTAGTTTATATATATATTATTTATGTTCGTGTTGAAGATTTACGTAATTATCATTGAATACGGATCATGATCATGTATTCAAAGATATACATGATCATATCTCGTTTCTGGAGATATTTCCGAAGGTACATAGTATATTTAGATTATTCATATAAATTTCAACGTAATTACACTTATAATAATGTAAATATAATCACACCATACTTATAATATTATATAAATAATCATTATAACACTAAGTGTATATGTTAACGTATACATATTGTATACGTTGACATATACCTGATAGTTTTGATATACTTATTATGATATGTATTTAATACATATAAGTATAAATATTTATTATACAATTTACGTTAGTGTATATACTGCGCATATTAGTCTAGTATTCAATTAATGTCTTTAACATATTTGTATAGATTACTAATGAGCTTTTAACTAAAATATCTATATATGATATTACTAGTAATATACTTGTATATAGGTAATATGATATCTACATACTTATTAATACGTATACAATTAGGATACAAATATGTTAAAGACATATGTACAAATATAGATGTATATCCTAATTGTATACATTCAATATGACATTATTACCAGTTATATACTTGTATATAGGTAATATGATATCTATATACTTATTAATCTGTATATGATATCTAGTATATTTAGTATAGTTATCACTTCGCATATACTTTAAAAATCTATATGTTAATTTAGTATAAACGTCAAGTAGTGCTCAAAATTATTCATAGTATGATAAAAAATTATATACTTATCATATATTATACAAATATAAGGCTTATAAATACCTTATCATTTTACATGATAAGGTATTATGAAATATAACGTATACGTATTCAATATATTATATATTGAACATATAAGTAATATATTTAACGGATATTTCGTAATTACACTTATAAACACATATGATAAGATCTATACATAATATACCGTATATATTATAATGACATATTATAACCGTTAATAGATATGCCTGAATACCGTTTGAAACAAAACGGTATTTATGCACTTTAAATCTCTATTAAGTAAATAAGCAAATGTATTTACTTATCTATAATTTAACTTAACATACCCTCATAGATAACGTATGATAAGTAATACGGTAATAGAGATTATGGTAAATAATTACCATAATCTCGATTATCAATGATGAAGATAATCTGTTATTATCTAAAAGATATTTTAATATTAGGTATGCAATCATAGATAAATCACTTAATAATGTGACACTCATTTTTCTCTATATGAGACAAAACGATATTATGCGATCATTTCCAATATTGCGTTTTAGTAGAAATAACTCAGGTTTTCTAAAACCTGAGTTATTAGGTAACATAAATAGGGTCACTCATATGTTTGAACTAGATTTGTTATCAAACAGGATTGTCTTCAATGCGATCCAGGGTAAAAGTGCCAGATTTAGCCAATATAGTCATTTATACACAAAGATATGTCTAATTATCTCCAATAATTAGACATATTTTGAGTTCACCGTTTAAAAGTGTCTCAAGTAAAGGATTGATATACGTAGGTCCTATCACTATTTGATAGGCCTAACATTTTAGAGAGCACTTTTAGGTTGATAAGGGTTTCCAATATTTCAGAGCTTAAATAAGTTCTGAAAGTGCATTTATGATAGACGTACACTTAATGGATACACATTATAGGCATTTACCTATAATCCATTTCGAAAATAGGGTTAGGTCTCGGGTTCGAATCCCGGCAACTGCGATGAGGGGTTACTATGCTGAAAAATGCATAGGGCCTCTGCAAGTACCAGGGACAAAGCCTCACTCTCTATCTGTCAGATTGTGATTATAGTCCAATTTACATCCTCCCATCGTGCCGTCCGGTCGGTGTTGGGGGCCCTCAGGGATGGGGTGTCATCCTTTCGAAAATAGGCAAAGAATACTTCACCGTTCGATATACAAAACAGAGCACAATAACGACAGCAAATATTTACCCAGAGTTCTTAGTACAAATCAACCTTTAAAGGTAAATTTAAAGCGTATATATTATTTACATATATACTGCCTAATATTAAGATGGTAAACAACATAATAAGAGTTATTGTATGATAGTGTAAATGATATCGGACCTTTAATGCTCTACACACAGCATAGAGATATGAGTATAAAGCCGTTGGAAGGGAAGGATAATGGTATGTTTAATCTTATCCTAAACTAAATACTGTTTTGTTTTACCCGATTTGCCTATTTGATGCACTTTTAGGATAAGATTAAACGTAAATACCATTTTGTTATACAAAATAGGCAATCATCCCTTGATATTTCGAAACCGGCCCGGGTAGCCACCGGGTCCGGGCCGGGCCGGGCCTCCGGTAAAACAAAACGGTATTTACTTTATAAAGTACTTCAAAATTGACAAGTATTTGGAACTAACAAGCTATATATGAAGGCGTACTTTGCTCGATACCCGTATGAAACGTTGGAAAGCACGGTTATAGCGAATTTCTATAACACTCAATGAGCTATAAATCTTTTCCGATCGAGCCTTAGCACTTCCAAAACAAAAGTTTGAAAATGCATGCATACCTAACATATGTGAGTATATATTAGCACAACTATAAAGACAAACTCTCTGTGATTGATAATCAGATGGATTGATATAATGTTTATTGAGTAATATGTGAGATTCAAGTACGAAATGCCAATTGTTATAGGTAAATTGAAACATATTATGAATATACGTTATCCCTATAGGACCCCGTTTAGATCATTAAGGTATTTATGCATTGTTATAGCTAAATCACAGTTTGCAATACGGTATTTCGTTTTAGTGTTTTCCCTTATAGTTGTTTATCATATCAACGTTGATATGACACATCCTGATATCTAATTACCTAATTTCGATATCTAGTCTCTTTCTAAAATAAGAATTGTATCACATCGAACACTTTTATGTTTCAATAGCTCATATCCACAGGACGTGAACTCGTTTACTCCATTTTAAACGAGTTCCGAAATATATCTTCAGGAAATACTTAGCATATTTGTAAATTGTACCTTTTAGAGATCTACTTGTATCTCTGCCCAACAAGAGTGAGATTATCTCTTGATTACCGTGTATATGCTTATCTACATATATAATCACGGTATATATCATAGGGATTAGGCTATGTACTCCCGTTGCCTAAACCCTAAACCCTAAACTCAAAAGATAAGATTTAGGGTATGAAATTCCGCATGGTTTATTTCATCCTAAATAGAGCACTTTTACGGGACTTGCCATCATCTAGTGTTTAGGATAATTTTGAATATCTACTGGAGCATAGGGGTGGGATCGGTCCGGTCTGGGTCGGGTTTTTGCTAAACCCGGAAATTACCCGTAAGGTCTCGGGTTATGAAAATTAGCGACCGGAACAAAGCCCATTATATTCGGTCCGAGTCGGGTTTTTGGTAGCTCGGGTTCGGTCCGGGTTCGGGTTGGACCGGTTAAAGCCCGGCCGTGAAATATGTCATTGTTTTATATTTTAACACGTATTTTCAAATAAAATTAATCAAAAATACAAACCGCAAATAATAACACAAATTTTAGTCTCCAAAATCACCAACAATTCAAATTTAAAGAAGATAATTATCTTAATATTTTATGTAAGATGTATATATATAAATAATATAGGTTTCTTAAAAATATTACGAAATAAATATTATACATAAAAAAGTTACTAGAGTTGCTATAAATATATTCTCATGGTCATTATTACGCTAAACAAATTCAACATATTTGTAGTCACTAAAAGTTACTAAATCTTTTTTTATCCACCGTGATTATAATCATATATTAGGAAATATTATATTTATATTCATATACTATATTAATTTTATATTAAAAGTAATTGTTTCGGGTTTTTTCGGTCCGGGCCGGGTTATAGATTTTAAGGCCCGTTAATGAGCCCGGAATTTTCGGTTCGGTCCGGGTTTTTTTAAATTCGGGCCGGTTAAAAAGAAAAAACCCGGACAGGGATCATAATTCGGGTCGGTCCAGGGTCGGTTTCCGGGTTTCGGTTCGGTTTTTCCCACCCCTACTGGAGCACATGATCATTGGTTGGCCACTATGATAGCCTAATCTCTTTACTCAAAATCATTTAGTGTAAGTTATACACATTTCTAGATAATGTGTATTTACACGCTAATGAGGGAAATATTGTTCCAACTTAAGAGATTAGGCTAAATCATATCAGAGTAAAGATCATACCTTTTAAAAGGTTACTTAGAAAACATACTTAGTTGTATAACAATTAAGTATGTTCCCCGAGCATTATTGTCAACGGATGAAACAATGGAAGAACAAATGATAAAAGTGCTCGATATTATATGTAACCTTCAATAAAGGTTACATATGATTGTTTATACGACATAGAACACAACGCTAGAGTATTAATATGCATCTCTATTAATTTTGTCCCAAGTGTATTGGGACATCCGTATAATATCTAGTCACTGTACATTTGGAATAAATAAGGATACTATAAACGTGAGCCCTTTAAAAATAAGGAATATAGACCATCCTTTTAGAAAGTTGTCATACTTTCTAAAATGTATACAAATTTGATCATTTATGATTGAGATCTTATCTTCAAGCTAATATCTTGCTATTATTAGGATGTGTATTATATCTAGCACTAAGAACTTACACTTATATCAATGTGATTACTTAATGCTTTAACTAAAAGCATTAAGTAATTTGTGTCAAAATCTTATAAAATTTTGACATAACACGCTATAAAGAACACATGTGATACTTTATATCTCTTATAGTTATCACAATAAGTTTATACACCTAATTCCAGCTTATTAATCTGCCCTAACATCATTTGAATTTCCAATGAGTTAATGGGAAGAAACGGGAACAATTCCCGTTGAGAGTATCAATCATAAACCCCATAAATCCACAATACGGTTTGCCAATTAGGCCTAAAACCG